TATATATATATAATTCCTTGAAATATATAGCTATAATTTCAAAATTCACGAAGTTAATTTACAGTCGATTATATTAAAGTTTCGGAAAGTTTGAGTGCAAATTTTATAACACATATCACTAACATCAAGAACAGTTAATATAGTGTCAAGCTGCTCTTTTTGTAAAATACCGTGAACAACCAATGGTGTCAAAGCTCGCACAGCATCTAAACGAACCTGAAAAAGTGAGCAAACTACTATGATATTTAACATAAAATGTTACCAAAATGAATCAAAAGTTGATGAAATAGTTATAGTCTTCAGAAAATGTTCTGCTATAAGTGCAAAGTAAAATTCAAAGCACATACAAGTAAGATTTTACAAAAATCTGAAACTAATTAGAAGAATTAAAAAAATCGTTCGCAAAATAACAGCAAATAACCTGTTCAATTTCATCATTAAACATATCAGCTAAATGATCCAATGCTGCAGCAGCTAAAAATGGACGATCTGCAGCTAATCGACCAAGAGAATACACACCAGCCTGGCGTACAACTAAAAAACTACTGCATTGTAATTTTGGATTTTATCTCTGAGAAAACCGAAATTGAAGAGGATTAAGAGCAGAGCACTAGCACAAGTATCAACAAAAATATAAGCATGAACAAACAGAAACTGTCTCGCCACATATAAATTTTAAACTACAGTTCGTTTATATTAAATGTTGATTTTCATTTTCACGTTATTGGTTCCAACGGTGTATAGTATCCTGACACTCTCGCTACACTCGTTCACACTGTTTTGCTATGCTGATCTTCGATGCTTCATCTTCATAGAATTTTCGGCGGTGATCAAATGAGATGTCTTCACGCATCTTCTTGAGCACTATCGTTTGTGTATATATGCCTCAACATGACCAAATACACTGATCTGCTTTGCTAAGCATTTTTATGAAAGTTTGTTACAATCCCATCCCAAGCTATCACATGCGCAACTATTTTCGTTCTGCATTTCATCTCTGGAAGGGAATGCTTTCAGCCATACTTCTTGCACAGTTCCAAATGTATACATGTCTCATTGTGTCTTCTAGTGTAGTCGTGATATATTTTTTTTACACTGCGTTGCTAGATGGCCGGCCGTTTTCACACGTTTTCTACAATGTTGGCACATATGATTCTCAACTACAGACGCTTCTATCTTGAAGATAGCAGTATCGAACTTCATCATATTGTAGCCATATAAATGAATCAGCTATAAATGAGATTTTACTCGTCTGCATCCTGTATAGCTAACCTTCATGAGTTTTCCTATCTTGCTACACAAATGCGTTTTCTGGACTGCTGTTAGATCTTCAGCGGTTGGATTATATACGAGATTGTATTTAATCTGAAGACAGAGTCTAATAAATGCCAAGTATGTGTTGAGAGCGTCTTTCTGTTTCAAATTCTTAAGTTTCATATATCAGCACTAGGCCTTAGACTAGCGTAACTTATTTTGGTCGAAATACGTGTCTCATGTCTTGGCACACCTTACTGACTCTTCCAAGAACTGATTCTGTGAGCACGACGACTGCAATATTAATGACTGTGGAAGTCGCTTACTTTCTCAATTCTTGTAGCGTAACTGCACACAAAAACTCTTCCTATACAGAGAATGACACAATGACCACTTCCTGCTCTCAAGGAAACAGTCAAGGACCGCTTTCAGCACTTCTCGTGGCCACCAGTACGATCATTTTGCTTGCACCTGGTTGTGGTACACTGGCAGAGTGCTCTCTCGCACCCTTCACGGAGATTCTTCCAATCTCATCTATTTCCCGACCTTTTCACTAACGATTTCAAACGCGAGTGTTTTTCCTTTATACCGAAACCAGCAGAACTGAATGCCGTTTGAGTATAGCAAAGTGCCAGAACACGATCCAACGAAAGAATCAAGAGCGCAGAAAAAAAGATCAGCCTCCGCACTGTTGGACATAGTATAATTTATTAATGGACAGATATAACAAAACCATATTGTTAGTGATATTGTAACACAGTCTATAAATTACACCAATAATAATTGTATTAAAATACAACTAACTCATAAATTCGTCTTCCAATGCTGTTACGAAAGCACCACATGCTCCTGAAGAAATTATGCTAGCTTGTTCTTCATCAAACCTTTCGACTGGAACATCCTCACCCAACTTTTTTCCTGTTGACCATTCACTTGATGTTTGGGAGCGTTGATGTCGCAGTCCATACGACTGAGGTCTTTTTGAAACATTATCGCGAGTTTTCGACATCTGAATTAGATTAATAATCTATTCTACAATTACCTCCAGGTTAAACAAAAATACTCACTCTCATTGCATTTAAGAGCTTTTTGTCAAGTGTTTGGTCCAAAAACGAATCAGAGACTTGCTTAAAATCCCCCAAAAGTCGAGCAGCCACGGCGCGGACAGAAACCTGAAACACTGAATATATTCCTTCACTCAATAAATGAAACTACTTATTTAATCAATTTAAATGTTTTCTCCAATAAAAGCTAACTTTTAACAGGCCATAATCATTCCAAAACAAAATAGTAAGCGAAATTATAATGTAGAGTTTATAAACCTCAGCATCATTGATTGCATGACAAATGGCAGCAAATGCATCGTCTACTAGCCTTAATTTCGCTCCATTTCGAGCGCTGATTTCACTAAATAAGTGTTACTATACCTTTTTCACAATAATATATTAGTCTGAAAAATAAATTACAGAATGGATAATCTAAAAAAGCAAAAACAAAGTACTATTACGTTTCAGGAAGACGGTCCGCGAATACTTTAAGTATATGTAACGCCTCTGTACGAACTATTTTCGATGAATTTCCACATAACTGAAACGTACTGTTTTTGGTGTCACAGATTCCAAACAAATTTCTGCGTTTGAAAAGTACATAAACAAAGATGGAAATATTTAGCAGATAGTAAGATTTCGACATATAAAAGGTCGATAATATTGTTAGAAATCGAACATTTTTCTTTCAAAATGTTTCACGTTTATTCTTGAAAAAATTTGGAAAAAAATTCATAAAACTTCTGTAAGATGAATGAGGAAGGAAAAAAAACAGCAAAACAAAAACAGAAAAATTTATGTCGATACAGAAAAACAGAAAGATACATTTGACAGAAAGATACATTTGTAATTCTGTAATTTTAATATTTATAAGCTTTTAGCTGAAACAGATGAAAAGAAGGAGTTGAAAATAAGTTCCTCGAGAAACAAGTAAGAAGATGAAAATTGATAAAACACACATTTTTGACTCGCTGATAGTTATGAAAACTGAGCGATCGCCCACTGGTAGCCAGCATCCTAAGACCTTTTATTGCAGCTATTCGCACACGAGAATCACGATCTTCAGCAACTTTCGACAACAATTCTTCTAACCAAATAAATTCGTTTTCTGAACGGTTTTCATGGCCTAAAAGATTCAAGACAAAATTAATTTATACTGTGACAAGTTTTATAAATACAGATTTTTCGTGTAGCTTACTAGTCGAATTTCCTACCATTTCATCAAGATCTGCTAAAAATTTGATACTAATCTAAGAGCTCATAAAGGAAATAATAAATGAAATATGGCCTACTTCTTAACAGCCGCATAACAAAAAAGTTTATAGCAGCAATTCGATCATTTTGATTAGGTGACTGAATACTCTCCTCTGCAATACAATTCATTCGTAGCATAGAACGACCGATTGTTAAGCTTTCCGATAGGGCCCATTCATACAATGCTAACAATGAAGCGTAAACACCAGGTCGATATAAAAGGCTGAAAATTTGTTTAAGAAAGATTTATGACCTTTAGATCTGAGTGCTCAAGTTTTTGCATAACGAAAAGGCTCTCTTGAAATATATATGAGGTTTTCCTTTAGTTATGAGTACTCAGGAACAAAACAAATGTTCTACATATAAAAATTTCATTAATGATTTCTAATAAATGCTTAGAATCTATGAAAAATTTAGTTCTTATAATCAGTAAACGACTCATATTATTTACAAAAGCTTATCTAAATAAATAAATGTTGTTTATAATCAGTACAGAAGAAGTTACATCAAATAATCATGGTTTACTGTGATTCATTCAATTTGTTCCTAAACCATTCATGCATTTTTAAAACATGCAATAAATGCCATAGGAATCAATTTGTAGAAATACGGAGCTCATTTTTGCTGGGAATGAATTGAGCATATCCTAATCTTATTTTTTCACATATAAAAAAAAGAAACTTTGATAATACTTGTTATTTATGATACAAAATGACTTGCATAGTCCCAAATGTAAAATAATTTTAGATTTACCTTGACTCTTTTTTGGTCTTATCTGTCAACAGTGCGACGATTCCATCCCACACATTCTGTTTCATTTTAGTGTTAGTGCAAATATGATGTGCATACTGTAAGCAAGTATTACTTACATCTGCAACTTTCGAAGTTATTGCAATTTGGATCAAAAGTTGCACACTTTGTACTTGTGAATCATCACTAAGAACTGACAAATGGTCCCCAAAATATTCTCGTATACGTGAAAGTGTTCTAAAAATTTTAAGCATTTGCAAAAATATTTTGGATATGCCATGAACTATATTACAATAAAATTATATAAAATTATACCCTAATTTATCGCCAATTTCTGTTAATTTTAAACATTCTTCCAACACCTCATAAGGGCTTCGTCCTGACAATTTTAATGTCAGCTTAATCGATGGCACAGTAGCAATCGAGTGCAGACGTGGTCTTTTCGCGTCTGATGGAACTGTTGGCAAAAATGAATAGATCTATAACTGTTAATAAGTAAAAAATAATGGAAAAGATCTGAGGAATCTATTGAAACTGACACAGCATTCAATCAATATGTGGATAAAATTGAAAATCATAGGCAATATTTTCTCTGTCACGCATTTGTAATCACTTTTTGTAGTTAACATCTATATCTAAATTTAGTATAGTCTAACTATTAACCAGAGGGGTATCAAGACTTCTATTTCAAGCACAAAAATGAAAACTAGTCAAAACTTCCAATACAAATGAGAATAAACATGCAGTAAGCAAGAAAAGCATTTTTTAACTATAACGTACCGACTGTTTATAGACTTCATGAGGTGATGACGCAAACCTCGATGTCTGAATCTGTTCACTTGGCCTTTCACGTTTGAGTCCATGCAAAGAACGCCAGTTCACTTCTTTCGAGAACTTTGTCACAGCATTGCTAGCTTGCTGCATTAAATATATTCATTCAATCACTTTATTTGTTTCCTTATTTGACTATAATGCGCGAGATTTAACGAGTTTCACAATTTACTCTGCACGGAACTCATAATAATAGTATATAGGGTATGATATGTGCGTAAGCAGCAAATACATGTGTCGTGCATCGATTTGAGTTAGTCTCTCAGTCCTAAACTTTCAATTCTGCACCTTCTTTGTGAGGATACACAATTTTCACATTTACCAAAAATATATTTGCATTTCATCAATCCGACCATTTTCTCTCCTGTATTGGAGACTATTTTTCACACAAACAGGGTCATTAAATGCATGAATAAGTTGGATTTTAGATTTTCATCGGCAACATTCTTTGCTGCGTCAAATATCAAGTTAGTGAGTTGTGATTGCTGGAGGGGAAATGAAAAAGGAACAAGAAACCAACGATGTAACGACAGGTGTAAATTCGTCTCTCACTGGAGGAGACTGCTCGGTTTCTTTATTTTTCTCGTTGCACATTAGAATAAGTGTGTTTTTATATTTCGTTTGCAAGGAGTTTAAAGCGTTTATTTTGATTGGATTCTTTAGTTGCTTACTTCTAGACTAGCAATATGGAATGCTTAGGAGCAAAAGCTTCTTTTTTGTGAAGAAAATAACATTGAAACTTAAAGAAACAAGCAATAATGCGTGACTGTTATGTCAAATCAAGACACTATGGTAGTCTTTGGAAATTGTAAAAGCGCTTCTGATTGGTAGAATAGGGAAATAAATGTAATTCAGTGTCAGTGTTTTTTCATCTGCATAATGTATAATCAAAACTAAAGCATTGTCATAAATGTTTTATGGTATAGGAATAGTGCATCATTAAGATGAAAAGATTATTTTGTAGAAAGATTGTCCTTGGGATGCAGAATTCGCATTATTTGTTCTCAAACAATGTGTAGCAAGCCGTATTCTACTCTTCGTTATACAGTTGGTGATGAATATCGTGGTAACTGATTACCCCACAGATGCTTTTCAAGGAGTTCCAGTTCCTGAAGGTTTTATTTAGTATATTGATTTTGAATATTGAGGGAAATAAATAGAATACAAACAGTGTATGGCATATTGACCGCATTTCGTTTTGGTCTTATAATATTTGTTAGCAACTGTTGATATCGGTCTTAAAAGTAATAATAAAAGCACTACGTTAAATTGCGATTAAATCTGGGATTGTTTGTACCATATAAGTATTTTCAAGAATAGCAAACTGAAAGAACAAATGTCGAGAAAGCCATTGTTTTGTCACAGATTATTTTTTAGAAATTTTATTGTAGAAGAGTTCTCACGAGCTGATAAGTGGATTCAGTTCATATTTGGAGGTTTGGCAAAATGGGATTCGGTGTATTTTCTTCACATCGCTCAATATGGTTACACCTATGAAAATACTCTTGCTTTTTTTCCTCTCTTTCCAACGCTAGTCCATTATCTCACCATAATCTGGAGTTGGGCGGTACCATTCATTCATTTCTCGACAGCTTTGTTGCTCACGGCCCTCACAGTTAACTTTGTAAGTATTTTTTAAACAATTTATAAAGTTGGCTGCCGTATCAAGAACGATAAAGTATGAATCAGCTTATTTTGTTTGCTTCAGCGATGTATTGATACTTGCAAGATTAAATTTTAGATGATGTATTAGGTGCTTAACACTTTTATTGAAATGTATCAATACAATAAAGTTTTTGGTAACAGAAAATAATTTAAGAAATCTTTGATTTTTTTTGATCATGGTTTGGGTTTTGCAGATAACATTTTTGTTATGCGGGCAACTGTTATATGCACTGGTGCTTATTTTATCGAAGTCTACAAAGCTCTCCGTGCTTGCTTGTCTTGTATTCAGTTTCAATCCAGCCAGCATCTTTTTTTCTGCTGTCTATTCTGAAAGTATTTATATGCTTTTGACTCTTTCTGGAATGCTCGTGCTCTATGTTGATCCAACTATTCCTTTCATTCGTCACGTTGTTGCCGCTCTTTTTTTTTCATTTGCATTTGCAACCAGGTCGATTTTTCCTTCTTTTTTTAATCTTATGTAATTTCAATACTTGAGCAGATAAAAGTATTGTTGACATTTAAGAATTCAGTTCATTTTTTTTCTTGAAGTGGCATACACTTTTTTACATTCCAAACTTTTTGTCTCTGTAAGTACTTATTTAGATGACAAAATGTTCTCCATATGTATTATTAGATCGAATATTTGAGTTTTAATCTTCCAAGTATCATTTTTTCTAGTCATCAATACTTTCAGATCCAATGGCATTTTCAATTTTGGCTATATTATATTTGAGCTTATGGTTGAAACAATCTATTCAAAATCGTCGAACAGATTTATTTGGGAACGCGATTACGGTACTGTGCTATTGAAGGTGTGACATCATCAGACGTTTTGTTGTTGTGCAGTACAGTTCTTCCTGTTGTACGTTATAAATAAAAGGTTTTTCCGTTTTTAAAGTTTATAACGGAATTATTTTAGCCTATCTTCATATATAAACACTTTGCAAGTATCCAAACTTCCTTTGTATCTGAACTTTCAATTTTAAGTAAGATTTAAGTACGGCAATAAGTCCTCAGTCATAATTTGCGGAAATTTGAAATTAATCTTGATAGATTGGATTCTTAATATCAAACTATTATGAATAGGGGCGGTCTCATGATTTTTTCCGTTAATGATTTAGTGCAAAACTTTTTATGCTTAAAGTGATCTTTTCTGACTTTGTCAGTTGGTTATGGTTTTCATTATCTTGAAATGTTATTCCATAAATGAACTGTTGTAAACCACAGTAGGAACTGCTTCATTCTACTTTTTTATTTATTGGATCCCTAACCATTTTACTATGAATGCTCAGATATTTCGCTTCTTTATGGTAATTATTGTCTGCTGGGGTATATTTGGAAGTCATGTAGTGTCTCATGGATCGAAAATGTACCGTATTTTTTGCTCTTCAAACGATACCAACAAACTTGTTAACGTTATACCTGATGTCGTGTATCAATATGCCTTGCTGAATGGTTTGGTTCTTCCTTGTGATTTGAACAATCTGACATGGTGCACGTAAGCCATTTGTTTCACTATTTTAAGATATCATCTGTCATTCGTGTTTTTCAAGTTGGTAGCATAAATTTCTGCTTGAAAAATTAAGGTCCTATTTGTCTTTAAAAGTATATAATAATTCAAGTGATTGTTCTTTTAGCCAAGGACGAAATATGTTTAATCCAATGCCCATGTTCTACAAAAACATTCAGAAGAAATACTGGCAAGTAGAACCCTTTGGTTATTGGCAGTGGAAGAAAATACCTTGCTTCACAATGGCTGCTCCAGCGACATTAATCATCTTTTATGGCTGTTTACTTGAGATCAGTCGTATACGAACATTGTATAAGTACGTCTAATAATGCACATGAGTTTAAGTTAGTACTTTGAATCGATTGAGCCGTCTATCGATAGGTTACATTCCTAGTTTTTCTTGTTACTTCCAATGATTACTGAAAGTATCACTGACTGAAGAAATAAATTTTGAAAGTTAATGGACCTTCTCATATCCAATATAATTTCTAACGATATGTTATTTCATGCAGGTCGTTATTTGACGCTGTTCTCGGCACATTCCAATGTGCGAATAACGTACTTCCATTTACAATACACGCACTGATTCTGACGGCTTTGGCTTTAGTACTTTACAACGTTGAAGTAGTTACGCGGATCCTATTCTCATCGTCACCGTTCATCTATTTGGTTATCGCACAATATATGGACAGTCGAACTCCGCTCGTTACGTTGGATGATGTGCAGTATCCTCCAATTTTCCCTTTCTTTCCAAACTTTTCACGAACACATTGGATGCATACCTTGTTGTTGTGTTACTTGTTGGGATATTTTTATATTGGTACTCTGCTGCATGTCAATTGGCTTCCTTTTACCTAGAGTTCTCACTATCCATAAAAATTTTGTGCATTTAATATTCTCAAGGATAGTATAATAGGTTACTGGGAAATATCCCCGTAAAACGACTATCTGTACTTTAATTGGAATAAGACTAATTTTCTAGTTGAAAACCTGTCTTAGCACTGTATTTTGTATCGAATTACAAATGCTTTACTGACATCTGAAGTCTTGTATTAAAGAATTCTCCCTTCTCCATGGTTCCTGATGTTTCCAAATGATCTCAATCATATTATTTACCATAGTGATCTCCATCTTTGTATCCATATGTCATTTACTTTCCACAGTTCCCTACTTCTCTTTAGATGAGTTTGTCTAACCTTTGTATGTAGCTTTTTATTGACAAATCTGGGGCCAAATAAATTGAAATGTGCATTTACCAATTGCATCAGTTCAAAATATGTACTGCAGATCTAGATTCATTCGGTTCGTAATGGTGGCAAAGTAGAAATCATTCAAGTCAGCTATCAACTAGGAGCCAACATAGATTACGAATAGAGCGTAATAAGGATGCGATCTAGTCACGAGCTGATCAGTGAGGTGGCTTCAACAGTCCAGAGTTTGACATCAATACCTGTATTGAAGAAACCTAATGATGTGGGGCAACACCTGTAACAAGGATAATTAAAGCTGGAGTTATGAGTACTGTTTCTTAGACATCTGGACATGCGACGGATTATATCCGAAATAATGAGTCCACAAATTAGGCTGATTCCCATAGGATAAATAGTGGAATTTGTGATCGTGTCACAAAAGTGACCTCGACATAAAAATTAGGGCATGGACTTATTTCGACTCCATAAAAGATCATGAAATTTGGCTGATTAACATGACCAGCCAGTATTTTATTCCAGACAAATTAGTATAAAAGTCATTATTTAGCAAATAAAAGACAAAAACAATTGTAAAATTTTAACGAAATATAACATGACATAAATTTGCATGTTTTCAAATAATTCGGGTTCAAAAAACCGAAGATGTGTTTTAGAGTTATGAAATCGTAAATAATTTAAAACAATGCAGGACAATTTTAAATTAGTGGATCTTCATGACAACTGGTTTGGTTCCACCAAGCTAGGGCGAAAGACAGCTGTGTCCAAATAGTGACAGGGCAGCTGTTCATAAACATTAATTCAGCTTGAATTCGGTGACATCACTTCAATAGTCGTACCACGTCGTATCGTTCCCCATCCAATCAAACGCCAATGTTTTTCGATACGGCGTGATAGGGCTATTTTTTCGTCAACTTCTGTGCAAATCGGATCAGTCAAAGCGATTTTGGCTGCGTCACCTACATCGACATTATAATTGCTGATTTTTTGGAAATAAAATCTCCTACCAACTACTTTTATTTAGTTTTCCAGAAAACACCTTTGTAATTTTTTTTGGGAATTCTTATTTAATTTAAATCAAAACACAGAATCAAAGTTAAAGGACCTTTCACTGCGAGCACACGACCGCCAGTCGACAATGACCCTATATTGACCATCAACACTTCACCCTTGCTCAATTTCTGTACTTTCGCAGCTTTCTTACCACCTTCTGTGCGAACACCAAGGAGACGTCGTAACACAAAATAAGCTATCTCAATTTCTGTGAAAATATCCGGCAGTGTCCCTACAGCACCCAAAATATGACCAACTAAGCGGTCGCCGCGGCACAACGTTGGGTCAATTTTAGTACCAACACCAATTAGACCTGGAAAATTTTTTGATCGACTCATGTATTTAATATAGTATCTGAGATTTTATCTAGCAAAATATCGAGTATTTTGGAAGTAAATATCTCTCTCGTACTACAATGAACCGATAAATAAAACATACTAACCCTCAATTTAAGCGAAAAATTCAAAAAATTTTGGGCGAAATTTATGTAAATCTTTAAACCTGATTTTAAAGAAAATACCTCCTGGTACAGCATATTGTAGCTGATTTTGTTCAGCAAACAATGATACAATACGTGATAGTATAGGCCTACATTGTACTTTGCCATCACTTGTCTTCGACACAATACCAGGCCGAACTTCAATTTCTTGACCAATTTGTAAGATTCCTGAACTCATGAATTACGCGTAACTAAGATTTAAAAATAATATCGACCAATATGACACCTTAATATATATTACAGATGATGCGGAGAAAACCTTTTAATAACCGATTACGTTACAAATATTAGCTTTGGCTAGTACCTTATACTTAGCATTTGCAATAATGAATGTTATCGCATAAACTTCATGATGTAAGTTTAAGATAGCTTGTGCAAACATGGCATTATGAAGAAAAACAAACAGATATCAGAAATAATATATATTTCATGTAAACTTTGGAATAAATTTACTTTCAACATACGAAATTCAAATAGCGCAACCATAACATACCTCGTAGTATCGATCCACCAGCTACACCCCCCCTGAGATTTTCGACCTCAGCACCCGGTCTATTGACATCAAATGAACGGATAACGATCAAACGAGCAGCAGATGAAAAGTCACGTAAAGGCACAGGAACCTTCTTGCAAATATATTCACAGACAACCTTAATATTAGACTGATAAGATCCCTTTGTTTATAAAAACGATCCTCCCAAAGTTTAAGATAGCTTGTGCAAACATGGCATTATGAAGAAAAACAAACAGAAATCAGAAATACACACATCCACATTATACTTTAACTGAGCGGATATTGGTATAACTGGTGCACCATCTGCCACAGTGCCTTGAACGAAACAACGAATTTGTTCAAACTGTTCTCTTGCCTGACTTTCCTGAAAAAGCATACATTTCAATTACTACAGCAACATTTCTATGAAAGATATGTAGAACATACAAGTCATATATACAAGTAGCAAGTTTATTACCGTTATTTCTCTTTCTTCTTTAGAAAAAACAAAACCTGCCTTAATAATGTCAATTTTATTCTGCAAAATTAGTAAATGATTGAGTTGCATTATTTCTACTGCTGCCAAATGCTCAGAAGTTTGAGGTTGAGGGCATGATTCGTTTCCAGCAATTAAAAGCAAAGCTGCATCCATAACAGCAGCTCCATTTAACATTGTAGCCATGAGGATATCGTGACCCGGGCAATCCACAAATGACACATGCCGAACACACTTAAATTCACCACCACAACCAGGCCTTTCACATGGGAACCGATCTGGAGTGCTAGACCCCGCAGATCTAAAGTCCTATCGAAGTTAAAACACGGTATTAATCAATTTCTTATGAAATACCGTTAAGTACATAAGCGATAGTCTTATAATGAATTAAATTAAAACAATAAAAAATTGCGGAAAAAAAAAAGGATTATAGAATGAGGACTGCTAAAACCACCTTAATGCGTAAAAATGACATCAAATTAGTAAAATACAAGTGGTAAACGACTACATGTTATGAATAGAAGTCAAATATTTGAATTTTAAAATACAACACCTGTAGCAGCCTGGTCTAGGACAAGATTCATTTGTACATCGATAAATTTTGGCATTTGCATATCCTAATTTGATTGTAATATTTCGTTCCAGCTCATTTTTAAATTTAACAGTATGGACACCAGAAATAGCTTTAACCAAAGTCGATTTGCCATGGGCTACATGCCCTATTGTTCCAATATTTATAGTAGCTTGCCGACTGATTACCTAAATATAGTGATACAGATTTGCTTAAAAATAACATAAAAATGCACTGAATTTTAAAAAAAAATTAAAAAAACTTTTCAAAATAATCACTTCTTCTGTTAGGGGAGTGAGCACTTCTGCATTTAGCTTACTTAAGTCTTGAGTGGCCAGCCATTCGTTCCGCTCTTCCTTTTCTGCCGTTTCTTTGTCTCCAAATGCTTCTGAAATTCATCTATTTTCTGTAATTACTGAAAGAGCCATTTATAATAACAGTATAATGATGTAAAACAGACTTTTATGATCGGCCATTGCCAAAAACTGTCGATTTTTTGAGATACAAAACGAATCTCTACACAGTCGCTCACTTGACTTTTACGAGACTCGACCAGCACTTAATATAGACTCTGTGAATTAGCACTTCCTGCAATTAAATGTACTTCTTGTACGTCTTGTCATATCAATGCTTCCTGATTGAAATTATAGTAGTACACCGCAAATGAAAACACAGCAAGTGCAATAACAGTTTACGCTATTTAATCCATGGTCTGAAACAGTAATATTTTCGTAGCGAGAAATGGGATATCTCGCATGAAATCGATAACATTGAAATTACTGAAATTGCTGAGATAGTTGCTCACACTAAATAGCAGCTAGACAGCCGTACTTATATGATATTTCAATGTTATTTCAGTGCAATGTGCAAAGGGTTATAATGTCGTGTCTGATCGGTAATTAATGTGTAAAGAAAAAACGCCAAAATGACGTAACGAGTGACTCAGTCGTGAAAGTCGATAGGACTCTGAAGCTCAATGTTTCATTAACAACTGTTACGACTATTTTGTGAAAACTCATCTTGAAGATGATGCAATAATTCAGAATTGAGTTGTAACATAAGATATTCGTTCTATTGCAGCGCTCTTCTGATTAAAAGAATTAGTCTTTCAAAGGGAAAATCTCAACCTGACATGCAATTCATACTGTAGTACGAAATGTCAATATGTCGTGAGTATAATGCAGTGTTGATTGAGTGTGTCGCATGTTACTTCTATACATCAAACGTGAAATGACGTGAGGCTATCACGAAATTAATTTTCTATAACAAGTATAAAGTACTAATTTGGTGGCTATGCCGATGAAATGAGGAGTGAAGCTGTGAGAATTACTTGAAGTTCGATATATTTTCCTTGTGGCTTTAATTTGTTGCCATACGTGCTAACTTTGACAAGACTGTAAGTATATGTTTGAGTTTAGTTCCTATATGTTTTTGCTGCTGTTGAAATGGCTGTGAGTGGAGAACCATTAAATACCTTCAAGCACTGCGTAGGGGTCATTTCGCGGTTGCCTGCTATTTTATTTTATCTAATTTTTTCCATTTGTTTGTAATTTAAAAGATTAACAGAAAACAATAAGTTGTCAGCTGTAAATAATTCTATTTGCAGAATCTGCTAGAGCTTGTAGAAAGTGTGTTAGTATTACAGAGAAATTTAACAGGTTATTTAGATAGACTTGTTGATATGTTCATTTTGGTACTAGAATATTGCCAATCATTATTCCTTTGCACTTTGTGGTATGCTGCTCATTTTAAATATTTTGATAGAATTTTCTTTTCAGATATCAAGTTTGTTGTCAAATTTCAATAAATGTGCTCTCAAAAAATTTGCTCATTGTATTCACTCTTGGCCTATCAAATATTATCACTGAATAGTTACACTTCGTTCTTATTAGTTTTTTCCTAATTGCACAGTTAATCTGACTTCTTCAATATGCATATCTCGAATTGCTAGATAAGCACTTTTCAGTCTCAGAATTCATCTAATTCATCATTTCCTCCTCTGCAAATTGTTTAGTTTTCAGGCATGTCACTGTGTTTTTGATTCAAAAAGTAGCAATCAAAAAATATCTTTTTTTTCGAAGTCTAACCCGCTCACAAGAACTCGAAAAATGATGCTTTATTTTGTAATTCTTGGTAATTTTTTATTCATGGATGCCAGACAATTTTTCTTTGATGAAAAACTTTCCATTTTTTTACTTCCAAAGCGTACATGAGGTGTAGCTTTTGTACCTGTTTTTTCTCTTCGTTTTCTATTTTGGTGATTTTTATACAAAATTTGTATTTGACTTTTTTCAGTGATTGAATTATCTATTCTTCTTGGCTGCAGTGTTCACTTATATACCTAACACAATGAATCTTGAAATGCCTCATACTGAAGAAGAGAAATTTTTCAACTTTGCTTTGAAAATCGTAGCAAGAGCGGGTGCAGTGAGTTTTCATTATCAGTAAGCAAATCTCATTGTTCTAGCAGTAGTTCCAATTCTTTCCTTTTTGTAGCTTGTTCGAACAGCATTTGAACAACCATATTCAGAAGTTCATACAAAATTATCGAATACTGATTTGGTGACAGAGACAGACCAGGCAGTAGAAAAACTGTTAATCGATAATCTCTCAAAGCAGTTTCCTGATCACAAGTTAGTTATGGTTACCTTCATTAAATTAACTGTTGTTTGTGCTCTATTCAGTTGTTTATAAGGGAGAGATCGTTTTAGGGAATTTGGGGTTTTAGTTTTCGATGATAAGGTATGAATTTATTTGTATGCATTTATAAATGCCTTGCATACCAAAATTATGTATTTTTAA